CCGGTATGGGTGGAGTTAGGATCCTCTCAAACGTTCACCTAGTGGTATGTATATGAAATTAATCAGTCAACAATCGTCTCATTAAAAATTAAATTGATGAATTACGATGTTAATTTGACATGAAAAAGTTCCTTCAGACAAGATATTACCAGAGGTAGAAGGTCCTGTGATCATGATATGTTTTGCACATAAAGTAAATACAATGGCAAGCTCTGTATGATCACAGTAACATACATTAACCATTACATTGCTTAGTTTTACAATTTTTCCATAGCTATCTTATCTGTATCAGTAATATCCTCTGTTCCTACACACAACAGACAGGACTAGCTACACACAACAACCATGACTGGCTATACACAACAACCAGGCCTGGCGGCTACACACAACAACCAGGACTGGCTACACACAAAACAATCACGACTGGCTATACACATAACAACCACGACTGGCTACACACAACAACCAGGACTGGCGGCTACCAACAACAACCAGGACTGGCTATACACACAACAATCAGGACTGGCTATACACATAACAACTAGGACTGGCTACGCCGACTGGCTACACACAACAACCAGGACTGGCGGCTACCAACAACACACACAACAACCAGGACTGGCTATACACATAACAACTAGGCCTGGCTACACACAACAACCAGGACTGGCTATACTCACAACAATCAGGACTGGCTATACACATAACAACCAGGACTGGCTACACACAACCACCAGGACTGGCTATACACACAACAATCAGGACTGGCTACACACAACAACCAGGACTGGATACACACAACAACCAGGACTGGCTATACACACAACAACCAGGACTGGCTACACACAACAATCAGGACTGGTTATACACACAACAATCAGGACTGGCTATACACATAACAACCAGGACTGGCTACACACAACAACCAGGACTGGCTATACACACAACCATCAGGACTGGCTACACACAACAATCAGGACTGGCTACACACAACAGGCCTCCAAACAATTACCACCAAAAGTTAGAAGTAATTTGAAACAAACAAATATTTGAATATTTAGACTAATTAAAGAGAAACCTAAGTGCTAACATCAACATTTACCAACCTTTGAAAGGGAAGCAATATGTATAATTGTCAAGTTATTAGCTGTTTTAAACTTGTAGTTATAATAACCTGTTTAAAGGTGGGTAGAAGGCTACAGATGATGCTGATAATTTTTCTGCCAATTCCTTTAATTATTTTGAAAGTTTTCCAGCAATGATTATTAAATCTATTGATTTGTTACAGAAATACGGATAACACACGCCAGTAATGTGACGGCACAGCACTCACCTCAGTTCTACTACACACTTTCTCCATTTCTCTTAATAATGCCAATTGGAATAAAATATCAATTTTGGTAAAACTTTTTTAATATCACAGATTAAATAAACATGTTTTCATGCAAAAAGCAATTGTTTCTACAAACCTGCAGGGTTTCAGGTTGATGGTATTTTGTGAACCAGACAATTAACTGATATGTCGTGTACCAGACATGCTGTACTTTCTATGTTGCAATATTGTACCAGATTTTATCTAGATGACAATGCAGCGAAAGTAATATCTGCCAGAGCGTATACATTAGTACTAACAGTTCACATGACAGTGTCCTATCTACCAAGCTGAAGCAGTGATTTCTGTTACCACCTACGCTAGGACTAACATTCACATGTCAGTGTCCTATCTACCAACGCTTAAGCAGTGATTTCTATCACCACCTACGCTAAGACTACCATTCACATGTCAGTGTCCTATCTACCAAGCTGAAGGAGTGATTTCTGTCACCACCTACGCTAGGACTAACATTCACATGTCAGTGTCCTATCTACCAACGCTGAAGCAGTGATTTCTATCACCACCTACGCTAAGACTAACATTCACATGTCAGTGTCCTATCTACCAAGCTGAAGCAGTGATTTCTGTCACCACCTACGCTAGGACTAACATTCACATGTCAATGGTTTCAGTACAGGATCAATCATCACATTCTAACTACTAACTCTCTTGTATTTAAAATGGGATTAGTTGAAAAGTCATTTTGCTCTTTCTGCAAAACACATCTGAAAACTATTGAACACATTCTATGGGACTGCCAAGAAGTTAAAAGATTGCTTCATAATTTTGAGAGGTTAACCCAAATTTTTTATATCAACTACTCATTGAATAAAAAACAATTTATTTTTGGTATAATTTGTGCAGACGAACCAGATGCGGAAGTTGAAACTTGGTAATTAAATATTATATTTATAAAACAAAATGTTTTAAAAATAAACTATCTATATTAGCACTCCTCAATGTAATTAAGGAAACATACAAAGTACAAAAACACATTTCAAATAGTAAATATGAGTCAGATAGGTTTATAGGATATTGGAGAAAATGGTCCCCACTGATAGGGACACCCTGACAATATGCCATATTATATGCACAATAACAGTTATTTTTTTTATTCATAAGTATGTTTTGTACAAAATCAAATATCTATAGAAACCATTTCTTTCCTTAAGCTTCTTTATTACACAACTGGAGAATAGACAATTTTTGCACATAATTTATACTTATTTATGTTAGTGTTGTCTCATGTTTTCAAATGTAAGTTTGTATGCAAATTTGTTTATTTATGTTATAATTTTTGTGTAGATGAATGTATATATATATGTGTGTGTATGTTTGTATACATGTTATTATATGTACATGTAGTGTGTAAGTAAGTGTTCGTCCTTTATGTAAGGTTCAAATGTTTTAGTATCTCAACTAAATTTACTAAATTTATGAAATATGATGAAAGAAAGTGATAGAAAGATGAATGTTGAACGAAAACCCTCCTATGAGAGGACAATACATTGTAAAGGGGGAAGATCCCAGGGCTCCTCAACCCTGGCTTCCTCCGTAAACACTTGCCGAGGAAATAAAATATTTGAACCTGAAAAAAAAAACATAAAAAAAACAACATTCACATGTCAGTGTCCTACCTATCAAGCTGTAGCAGTGATTTCTGTCACCACCTACGCTAGGACTAACATTCACATGTCAGTGTCCTATCTACCAAGCTGAAGCAGTGATTTCTGTCACCACCTACGCTAGGACTAACATTCACATGTCAGTGTCCTATCTACCAAGCTGAAGCAGTGATTTCTGTCACCACCTACGCTAGGACTAACATTCACATGTCAGTGTCCTATCTACCAAGCTGAAGCAGTGATTTCTGTCACCACCTACGCTAGGACTAACATTCACATGTCAGTGTCCTATCTACCAAGCTGTAGCAGTGATTTCTGTCACCACCTACGCTAGGACTAACATTCACATGTCAGTGTCCTACCTACCAAGCTGTAGCAGTGATTTCTGTCACCACCTACGCTAGGACTAACATTCACATGTCAGTGTCCTACCTACCAAGCTGTAGCAGTGATTTCTGTCACCACCTACGCTAGGACTAACATTCACATGTCAGTGTCCTACCTACCAAGCTGTAGCAGTGATTTCTGTCACCACCTACGCTAGGACTAACATTCACATGTCAGTGTCCTACCTACCAAGCTGTAGCAGTGATTTCTGTCACCACCTACGCTAGGACTAACATTCACATGTCAGTGTCCTACCTACCAAGCTGTAGCAGTGATTTCTGTCACCACCTACGCTAGGACTAACATTCACATGTCAGTGTCCTACCTACCAAGCTGTAGCAGTGATTTCTGTCACCACCTACGCTAGGACTAACATTCACATGTCAGTGTCCTACCTACCAAGCTGTAGCAGTGATTTCTGTCACCACCTACGCTAGGACTAACATTCACATGTCAGTGTCCTACCTACCAAGCTGTAGCAGTGATTTCTGTCACCACCAAGCTAGGACTAACATTCACATGTCAGTGTCCTATCTACCAAGCTGTAGCAGTGATTTCTGTCACCACCAAGCTAGGACTAACATTCACATGTCAGTGTCCTATCTACCAAGCTGTAGCAGTGATTTCTGTCACCACCTACGCTAGGACTAACATTCACATGTCAGTGTTTCCTTTCTACTGATCATGATCTAAATTGAAAATTCCTTGAGACAAATCATGTAACCTCGACAACCTGTTGCAACTATAATTTTACAGACTTCTCCAAGTATAGGGTCTCCCTTTGTCCCCCTCCTTAGTCTTCTAAAATACTCCTAGCCCTGTAGAATTATGTCATTATACATATTTTAAAATATGTTCCCCTTTAACAATTATTAAAACGGTTTTGACTGCACAATTCACAAAGTCAAACATGACAATCTAATTAAAAATAAATAAAAATCTTAACATTTAGCTTGGGAAACAATCATAACCTACCTGTATGTCCTTGATCTTGGGCAATTGGACTAGCATCCCTCCCAAAGCCTCGAGGGTGATTCCAATGAAGTTGAACACTGTCCACAGAAATGCATAGTACTCTGACCCATGCCAGTAGTACACAAAGGTAAAACACAGCACTGACCCTGTAAACTGTCGCACCATGCCCGACCGTGATCCCCCCAGAGGCACATAGATATATCTGCAAAAAATCAGTAACAATTGGATTCATTTCACCTAAAATCTCTTATAATTGAGCTTTCAATTTCTAAATATGACATCTTTATTGATAAAAGTATTACTTTCCATAATTTAATTTCATAATTGAAACAGATAGAGCCTAAGCCTTAATGTGTGAGATTATTTTTTCAGTAACTTATAAAGGTTGAAAACAATTATCTTAAAGCAAAAAGCCAAGGAAACCTGTATCACCCATTTGGATATTAAAGCAATAATGGCAAAATATTCAAAATAAATGAAGTGCTGCTAATAAGAATCCAGGGGTAAGGCCAGATCGCGGAGCTAATTATGGTAGCATGATTGTATTCATCTTTTCGTTCCCTTATATTATGGTGATAGGGTCACGATTTACCTCAGGACTATGTCCCCAGTGGCCAATAAGACTCCAGAGAACAATCATGGTGGCATGAATGTATTTGTGTAATTGTTCCTTCTTACTCATAACTTCTTTGGGTATATATTCACCATTGCATAGCAATGACACAAACTCACTCTGCTAAATTCAGATGGCATTCATTCTAACTATAAATGCCATTGCCAGACTGCTCATGTCATTATTATTATAACATCAATACGGTAATATCAAAGTTTACTTTGACTATGACTAATAGCTTGACAAAGGGACCAGTCGGTCTCGAAACATTGCGACACGTTTAATATGTACATTGTTTGTGTATAGCTTGACAAAGGTACCAGCCGGTCTCGAAACATTGCGACATGTTTAATACATACATTGTTTGTGTGTAGCTTGACAAAGGGACCAGTCGGTCTCGAAACATTGCGACACGTTTAATATGTACATTGTTTGTGTAAAAAGTAAAGCTTTGATATCACATATTTCCAAACTGATGAATCTTATTTAAGATATCATTATGGTAATGTTGGGCTACCAACAACACATATACCGATTGCGATTTGAGCTATATTATATACTTTAATAGACAAATTTTATTATCTACGAGATCGAAATACTCCAAAAATGGTAAGTTCAAGTATTGACTACCTCTAGTTGGCATTCATAGCCAATGCTAGTGCACTTCACTGAATGGCGATTATTGCAAACTGTAAACAGTTTAATGCTCAATAGAGAGGGGATCTCAACCATTTCCATTCTATGACCCAGGGATTTAGTAACCTAGGGCAGGCCAAGAGCCTGGGACCAGTCCTTAACGCATAATTGTATTCCACTGCAAATCAATAGTATATTCGGTTATGGGGTGGCGATCTCAATAGTTTCCATGGTGTGACCCAGGGACATGGATTGCTTTTCCTGATAGTTTTTTTTTTCTCTTCATGCCTAGCAATTATATACATGGTTATAGGGAGGGGATTGGTTCCAGGTTGTGACAAGGAATTAAGTCCCGAGGCGTGAGGCTACCATTAATATAATCTTATATCATCACCTGAAGATGCATTCAACTAAATTTGATTGATACACATTTCATAGTCCAAGAGAATTTGCGTATAACAACATAACCAAATTACGATGTTTTAGCCCAGCGTCTGCATATCTATAATTTCGAATCCCCACCACCTAAGGATGTTTCCAGTCAAATTTACTGAGACTTCCTTTATAAAGCAGTTCAAAAGAAGAAGTAATTACAATAATTGTTGACAGACGGATGCCACAATATTTCATAAGCATACCTTGGTCTCTCAGACCAGGTGAGCTTAAGATCAGGGTTAAAAAGGTGGGTCTACTGGCGATTTATCACTATGCTATCAGAAATGTTTGATATAAAAGAAAATTCCTCAAACTTTCATCAGTGTTAAGACTAACTCATTTTTTTAATTGATAAATGTGTACATAAACTTATTTTTTAAGGACAGAGGTTCTTAAATATAGTGTGTAATATAAAAGAACTAAATGATAAGTTCATACTTCACCCTTTAAATGTGTAAGACATTGAGAAATAATGTTACCACTTGATTTACCTTTTCATGAAATCATACATGCCACGATCAAAGTATCTGAAAAGATAAAAGATTGATTAAATTCTCACGAGTATTTCTAAGACGGTGGTTGATGTACTACTTGGCATCAATAATTACTCCCCTTCTCAATCCAAACTGAAAGCTTCCAGTTGATCAACATCAGAATATCTATGGAAAATATAATATATCATGTGTGTGTAAGATTTAATAGGCGAGGACTTTGTAAAAGGTAAGATGTGTTTGGTCTTAGGATTAAAATCTGGGGGTTCTGTCCAAAAAATGTATATTACCAATCACCTATTTCTACTACAACTGATCCTAATTATCAATTCTCTGGCCAGCTATAGAATGACAGAGGTGTTGGTTAAATATAATTATAAAACTTATATATATCAACAATGCAGTGTCATGATGGATGCTTTACCAGTGGTTAGCTTACAGTCAGATTGAGTAAAATCTTACAGTAACAAAATATTGCAATTAAAAAGTACAAAAGGCATTGGGTATAGAATTGTAAATGTTGCATTGTGAGTTTTGCATTGAATTTACAAAGATATTGCCTAAAACAAATTTCTATACAGCCCGACTTGTCGTTTGTAAATCATCACCATGTTGATCACAAAAATGTCATATTGTAGTAAGAATAAGTTCCAAAACATGCAACCATTGTTTTATCTTGGTAATCTAACTAATGTCAGTCAATTTTTTGATATTTCGAAAAATGCAAAACCAACAAAAACATGTTTTGTTTTTTTTTAAATTTGAAGAAAAAATAACTCAAATTAGATAAACATGTGCAACAACAGCGACTTGTGAAATGTCTATTTGAGTGCTGTTACTTTCCCCATGGAACTGATTAGAAAGCATTTTTACTGGAAAGCCATCATTTGTTGGTGTTCCTGATGCATTTTTATGACAATTTAATTTGTGTACTGCATTCCAAAATCAATTCACATTGAAGACACATTACCAAATTGCTTGTTTAGGAATTCTTTTTCCTACAGCTAATTTAATTTGTGGCTTTGATTTAAGTTTATATACACAGTATATCTGAAGGATATGTTTATAGACTGTACAATGTATAGACCTTGTGTTTGATGTTACAGGATATCTCTCTTTTATTTTCATCGTTATTTATACAGATGAAAAAATACAGTTGATGATATATAAAGTACGAACCATTCTATACATATTACTAGAGATGGCAAAATTCACCATTCATCAAATATAGATATATTTAAATTCATGTAACAGAGGCCATTACTTTTTCAATGCCTCACCTACGAGTCGAACCCGGGACCTCAATGCCTCCCCCACGAGTCGAACCCGGGACCTCTTGTGTACTAGTCTTAGGCTCTATTGAATGAGCTAGAAAGGAATTTTCCCTAGCCGAGTCGGTAGGAAGCGGCCAGTATTTTACAAGGGCGACATGCATTATACCTTCATATTCAAACTTGTCACAACCATAAAATACATGTTAGCGTGATCATAGTACATCCTGTCTAAAAGCTCCTAGTTTTACACAATCCTTGTTTACCTTGTAAGACATATCGTAAAGTTCATATTTGCAAACGTTATGAAAAATGTTACATAAAAACTGTCCCTTTATAAAAGTATCGGCTATAATGCACTATCCATTATATAAGTCCAATAAAATCTATATGTTAATTATAGTGTCACATTCAAACTTGTTATAGTGAAATAAAGTAAAGATAGTACATCACATCTTACATATAACAAAACTACATAGCCCTTGTTTACTATGTAAGATATATCACTGACTCGTATTCACCATACATCATAGAGTAATGTTGTACATACTTATACATGTATACGTACATACAAACACACCTGTCCTATATAACACCATAGTATACATAATTATACATGTATACATACATACAAACACACCTGTCCTATATAACACAATAGTATACATACTTATACATGTATACATACATACAAACACACCTGTCCTATATAACACAATAGTATACATACTTATACATGTATACGTACATACACACACACCTGTCCTATATAACACTATAGTATACATACTTATACATGTATACGTACATACAAACACACCTGTCCCATATAACACTATAGTATACATACTTATACATGTATACGTACATACAAACACACCTGTCCTATATAACACTATAGTATACATACTTATACATGTATACGTACATACAAACACACCTGTCCTATATAACACTATAGTATACATACTTATACATGTATACGTACATACAAACACACCTGTCCTATATAACACTATAGTATACATACTTATACATGTATACGTACATACAAACACACCTGTCCTATATAACACTATAGTATACATACTTATACATGTATACGTACATACAAACACACCTGTCCTATATAACACTATAGTATACATACTTATACATGTATACGTACATACAAACACACCTGTCCTATATAACACTATAGTATACATACTTATACATGTATACGTACATACAAACACACCTGTCCTATATAACACTATAGTATACATACTTATACATGTATACGTACATACAAACACACCTGTCCTATATAACACTATAGTATACATACTTATACATGTATACGTACATACAAACACACCTGTCCTATATAACACTATAGTATACATACTTATACATGTATACGTACATACAAACACACCTGTCCTATATAACACTATAGTATACATACTTATACATGTATACGTACATACAAACACACCTGTCCTATATAACACTATAGTATACATACTTATACATGTATACGTACATACAAACACACCTGTCCTATATAACACTATAGTATACATACTTATACATGTATACGTACATACAAACACACCTGTCCTATATAACACTATAGTATACATACTTATACATGTATACGTACATACAAACACACCTGTCCTATATAACACTATAGTATACATACTTATACATGTATACGTACATACAAACACACCTGTCCTATATAACACTATAGTATACATACTTATACATGTATACGTACATACAAACACACCTGTCCTATATAACACTATAGTATACATACTTATACATGTATACGTACATACAAACACACCTGTCCTATATAACACTATAGTATACATACTTATACATGTATACGTACATACAAACACACCTGTCCTATATAACACTATAGTATACATACTTATACATGTATACGTACATACAAACACACCTGTCCTATATAACACTATAGTATACATACTTATACATGTATACGTACATACAAACACACCTGTCCTATATAACACTATAGTATACATACTTATACATGTATACGTACATACAAACACACCTGTCCTATATAACACTATAGTATACATACTTATACATGTATACGTACATACAAACACACCTGTCCTATATAACACTATAGTATACATACTTATACATGTATACGTACATACAAACACACCTGTCCTATATAACACTATAGTATACATACTTATACATGTATACGTACATACAAACACACCTGTCCTATATAACACTATAGTATACATACTTATACATGTATACGTACATACAAACACACCTGTCCTATATAACACTATAGTATACATACTTATACATGTATACGTACATACAAACACACCTGTCCCATATAACACTATAGTTTACATACTTATACATGCATACGTACATACAAACACACCTGTACTATATAACACTATAGTATACATACTTATACATCTATACGTACATACAAACACACCTGTCCTATATAACACTATAGTATACATACTTATACATGTATACATACATACAAACACACCTGTCCTATATAACACTATGGTATACGTACTTATACATGTATACGTACATACACACACACCTGTCCTATATAACACTATAGTATACGTACTTATACATGTATACGTACATACAAACACACCTGTCCTATATAACACTATAGTATACATACATTTATAAGATGAAGTCAGACAGAACATTGCGGTACATGACCACCGACATGATTTATAAATGCAAACTAGTCAAATGAAAATAATAATTATCTAGTTTTCTCATTAGAAATATCAAAGAGGTAACAATGATTAATTTAACAGCTAATTATCACAAAACGACAATCATATGATGTGCTATTGGTTAGAAATTGATGAGTTTCAAAGTAAATGCAGATAATGGCCTACCAGGAGTATGTCTGCCAGAGCTACTATTAATATATTGTATTGTACCACTTATAGCCATTCATTAGGCCTATATCTATTGTCCCAGCATCAAGCCTGTAGACATTACACAGGCCATACAGCTGATATATGCTGGTATGTCTATACAATTTTATTCATCGAGTTAATCAATGCTATTTATTTCCTAAACTTGTACAGAAAGTAATTCCATAAACAGCATACTCAATTATTAATTGAAATAAACCTCATGTGGGTTTACCAGTATATGTCATGGTGAAGTATGATACTACTCTTTTGTATATTACAACAGGTAACCTGCAGTTTAATCCTTAGTTTGTGCCTGACGTATATTTCATTTCAATCCTATGTAACCCATCACTTAGGAATACTACACACACACACACACACACACACACACACACACACCCTCCCTCCCCATTTTTAAACAAATCAATAAGACCTTACACCCAGAAATAATTATAGGTCAATATCATTACTCTTATTAGCAGATGTAATTTGAGGATGTTTTTTAATATGTTTGACCATGGGGAAAATGAACGTATATTAAGGTATATTGGAACAACCTTGACAACCAAGCTAAGGGCCAAATATCATTAGTCTAGGCCTTATTCCATCGTTATAAAGCAGAGTATACAGTATATAAGGTTGTCATTGTTTTACATGTTATTCATACTTAATGAAACAAATAATTGTGTAATATTGAACTGGATAATTAGGTCAAGTGGCGGTAAGGTTAATACTGTGGCCCGGTGAGGATAGTGTAACAGAGTGATCTGTCAGGCCTCGGCAACAGTCCAGCCATGTTGTTACCTTCTTAACGTTGAAGGCAATACATGTACACCATGGAGTAAACCACGGATCCATTTTGTTTGTTATGTAATGTGTATATTCACCAATGATCACATGTCCAGTAAAACACGGATCCATTTTGTTTGTTATGTAATGTGTACATTCACCAATGATCACATGTCCGTGAAAACCACGGATCCTTTTTGTTTTTTATGTAATTTGTATATTCACCAATGATCACATGTCGGAGAAAACCACGGATCCTTTTGGTTGTTATGTAATGTGTATATTCACCAATGCTCACATGTCCGAGAAAACCACGGATCCATTTTGTTTGTTATGTAATTTGTATATTCACCAATGATCACATGTCCAGTAAACCACGGATCCATTTTGTTTGTTATGTAATGTGTATATTCACCAATGATCACATGTCCGAGAAAACCACAGATCCTTTTTGTTTGTTATGTAATTTGTATATTCACCAATTATCACATTTCCATGGGAAGGAAAAACAAATTATCTCATATTTTGCTTTAATTGCTACTAATTGTTCAATTAAAGTTTAGGTAATATTGTAGCTTCATTACTATGTAATATTGTTACTTCATTAGTATGTAATATTGTTACTTCATTAATATGTAATATTGTAACTTCATTACTATGTAATATTGTAACTTCATTAATATGTAATATTGTAACTTCATTACTATATAATATTGTTACTTCATTAATATGTAATATTGTAACTTCAGTACGATGTAATATTGTAACTTCATTACTATGTAATATTGTAACTTCATTAATATGAATCATGTATCATACTTAATATATAAGAACATCTTTGGTTCTTAATTTTCCAGATAATGAAGAAATTTGAATTTTGGTTTTCTATTTAACTTTTTTAAATTTCCCTTCAAAATTCTGTTGGCATAAAAAAAAATGCATGAAAATACAAAAGAAATAATCATTCAAATTTCAACATTCATTTTGTATATCTATAGGACATATTATCACTTGTCATGGAAACTTTGAATATAATATTAGGTAACTCAAAACATGATACCTGATGATACAAAACATAAACTGGAGGTCGAAATAGGTTTTATCATAAATGATCCCTTAAAAATGTCTGTAAGTCTTGAATGCCCCCTTGGCTTTGTGGTTGACTGATAAATAGCAAGTGACCTTGACATTGAATTTGGAACCTGAATACAAACTAATCTAAGGTATTTTCNAGGTCACATCCTGTTGTAATGTGATGTGAAGTGGTGGTCAGGTCACATCCTGTTGTGATGTGATGTTAAGTGGTGGTCCCATCACATCCTGTTGTGATGTGATGTGAAGTGGTGGTCAGGTCACATCCTGTTGTGATGTGATGTGAATTGGTGGTCAGGTCACATCATGTTGTGATATGACATGAAGTGGTGGTCAGGTCACATCCTGTTGTGATGTGACATGAAGTGGTGGTCAGGTCACATCCTGTTGTGATGTGATGTGAAGTGGTGGTCACGTCACATCCTGTTGTGATGTGATGTGAAGTGGTGGTCAGGTCCTATCCTGTTGTGATGTGATGTGAAGTGGTGGTCAGGTCACATCCTGTTGCGATGTGATGTGAAGTGGTGGTCATGTCACATCCTGTTGTGACGTGACGTGAAGTGGTGGTCACATCACATCCTGTTGTGATGTGATGTGAAGTGGTGGTCAGGTCACAACCTGTTGTTATGTGATGTGAAGTGGTGGTCAGGTCACATCCTGTTGTGATGTGATGTGAAGTGGTGGTCAGGTCCTATCCTGTTGTGATGTGATGTGAAGTGGTGGTCAGTTCACATCCTGTTGTGATGTGATGTGAATTGGTGGTCAGGTCACATCATGTTGTGATATGACATGAAGTGGTGGTCAGGTCACATCCTGTTGTCATGTGACATGAAGTGGTGGTCAGGTCACATCCTGTTGTGATGTGACATGAAGTTGTGGTCAGGTCACATCCTGTTGTGATGTGATGTTAAGTGGTGGTCACATCACATCCTGTTGTGATGTGATGTGAAGTGGTGGTGAGGTCACATCCTGTTGTGATGTGATGTGAAGTGGTGGTCAGGTCACAACCTGTTGTTATGTGATGTGAAGTGGTGGTCAGGTCACATCCTGTTGTTATGTGATGTTAAGTGGTGGTCAGGTCACATCCTGTTGTGATGTGATGTGAAGTGGAGGTCATGTCACATCCTGTTGTGATGTGATGTGAAGTGGTGGTCCCATCACATCCTGTTGTGATATGATGTGAAGTGGTGGTCAGGTCACATCCTGTTGTGATGTGATTTGAAGTAGTGGTCAGGTCACATCCTGTTGTGATGTGATGTGAAGTGTAGGTCACATCACATCCTGTTGTGATGTGTTGTGAAGTGGTGGTCAGGTCACATCCTGCTGTGATGTGTCGTGATTGGACGTGATGGTCACGTGACATCCTGTTGTGATGTGATGGGACGTGATGTGGTGGTCTTGTCACATCCTGTTGTGATGTGATATGACATGAAGTGGTGGTCTTGTCACATCCTGTTGTGATTTGATGTGAAGTGGTGGTCAGGTCACATCCTGTTGTGATGTGATGTGAAGTGGTGGTCAGGTCACATCCTGTTGTGATGTGATGTGAAGTGGTGGTTACGTCACATCCTGTTGTGATGTGATGTGAAGTGGTGGTCAGGTCACATCCTGTTGTGATGAGACATGAAGTAGTGGTCATGTCACATCCTGTTGTGATGTGATGTGAAGTGGTGGTCAGGTCACATCCTGTTGTGATGTGTTGTGAAGTGGTGGTCAGGTCACATCCTGCTGTGATGTGATGTGATTGGACATGATGGTCACGTGACATCCTGTTGTGATGTGATGGGACATGATGTGGTGGTCTTGTCACATCCTGTTGTGATGTGATATGACATGAAGTGGTGGTCTTGTCACATCCTGATGTGATTTGATGTGAAGTGGTGGTCAGGTCACATCCTGTTGTGATGTGACATGAAGTGGTGGTCTTGTCACATCCTGTTGTGATTTGATGGAACGTGATGCGGTGGTCTTGTCACATCCTGTTGTGATGTGATGGGACGTGATGTGGTGGTCTTGTCACATCCTGTTGTAATGTGATTGGACGTGATGGTCACGTGACATCCTGTTGTGATGTGATGGAACATGAAGTGGTGGTCTTGTCACATCCTGTTGTGATGTGATGGGATGTGAAGTGGTGGTCTTGTCACATCCGGTTGTGATGTGATGGGAAGGACGTTGGTAACACTATATGCCCCCTCCAATAAAATGACGGGGGCATCCAATACAAAACAAATAAATTATCTTTGCAGCATCTGTTTTAAACTCTCAAAATTAAGGTGTTACATAATCGACTTTACCACATTGATGTTTACTTTAATAGCCAATTATAAAACTATAGGATTGAGGACTTATTCCACATCCCAGTTGTACATGTAAGCTGAAACTTGAACCTGACAGGATGGATGAGTATACGTATTGTAGCATAAAATACACTGAATGAGTATTCTGATCATAGTGACTTACTTCCACATATCCGAGTATAGGTATATATAGGAAATACATTTCGGCCCCTTGGGTGGTTCAAGGTCATCTGTTTTGGCCACAATGGATGGAAGTCCAAACATGACGGTGTACTTCGTCATGAAGAACTGACCGCTACAATACCCAATACCAGCCATTGTCCATAAATTGATTTCTTGCATTATAGTGGAGTTGTGTTGTAGAGCATTGAAGTAGAAATAATGCAGACAAATCTCATTCACGAAGGCCCAGAATAGAATACGACACAAGTCTGTACAAAGAGAGGTAACTCTTGTCCACGTCCAAGGCTTTCTCTGCTGGCATATCTAGGAAATATACAAATGAACCATTTACTGAACTAACTTAAACAAGTCATCAAATACTTTATATTTAGACAGAGAATATTAGTGCAAGCATACAATATATGGTAAATATATGTGGAGGGTAAAATTAACACTGAGTAAATACAGATTTTTATAGTGAAGGGTGAATATCTCATGTGGCAACAGTTTCCTTGTATATAGGCCTAGTAAACAAATTAACCCTAATAAACAATCAGTTTATCAATCAACACATGAACAATCCAACATTTTCAAAAACATAGAAAATTGTTTCAAAATGTTGTATTTGGAACTCGAGTTCAAATCCATGTTTAGAGTAGCTACATACAGCCTACCATCCTCACCTGTGAGGAGTACACTGTGTTCAGAGTATCTACATACATCCTACCACCCTCACCTGTGAGGAGAACACTGCGCTCAGAGTATCTACATACATCCTACCACCCTCACCTGTGAGGAGAACACTGTGTTGAGAGTAGCTTCATAAAGCCTACCACCCTCACCTGTGAGGAGTACACTGTGTTTAGAGTAGCTACATACAGCCTACCATCCTACCTGTGAGGAGTACACTGTGTTCAGAGTATCTACATACATCCTACCCCCCTCACCTGTGAGGAGAACACTGTGTTCAGAGTATCTACATTCATCCTACCACCCTCACCTGTGAGGAGAACACTGCGCTCAGAGTATCTACATACATCCTACCACCCTCACCTGTTAGGAGAACACTGTGTTTAGAGTAGCTACATACATCCTACCATCCTCGCCTGTGAGGAGAACACTGTGTTTAGAGTAGCTACATACACCCTACCATCCTCACCTGTGAGGAGAACACTGTGTTCAGAGTATCGACAGGCATCCTCCCACCCTCACCTGTGAGGAGAACACTGTGTTTAGAGTATCTACAAAAAGCCTACTATCCTCACCTGTGAGGAGAACACTGTGTTTATAGTAGCTACATAAAGCCTACCATCCTCACCTGTGAGTATAACTCTGTGTGTGTTTAGAGTATCTACATACAGCTTACATCCTCACCTGTGAGGAGAACACTGTGTTTAGAGTATCTACATAAAGCCTACCATCCTCACCTGTGAGTATAACTCTGTGTGTGTTTAGAGTATCTACATACAGCTTACCATCCTCACCTGTGAGGAGAACACTGTGTTCAGAGTATCGACAGGCATCCTCCCACCCTCACCTGTGAGGAGAACACTGTGTTTAGAGTATCTACAAAAAGCCTACTATCCTCACCTGTGAGGAGAACACTGTGTTTAGGGTATCTACATACAGCCTACCACCCTCACCTGTGAGGAGAATACTGTGGGAAGATTAGATACATAAAGCCTACCATCCTCACCTGTGAGGAGTACGCTGTGTTTATAGTAGTTACATAAAGCCTACCATCATCACCCGTGAGTAGAACACTGTGTTTAGAGTATCTACATACAGCTTACCATCCTCACCTGTGAGGAGAACACTGTGTTTATAGTAGCTACATAAAGCCTACCATCCTCACCTGTGAGGAGTACGCTGTGTTTATAGTAGTTACATAAAGCCTACCATCCTCACCTGTGAGGAGGACACTGTGTTTAGAGAAGCTTCATAAAGCCTACCACCCTCACCTGTGAGGAGAAAACTGTGTTTAGAGTAGCTACATACAGCCTACCATCCTCACCTGTGAGGAGTACACTGTGTTTATAGTAGTTACATAAAGCCTACCATCCTCACCCGTGAGTAGAACACTGTGTTTAGAGTATCTACATACAGCCTACCATCCTCACCTGTAAGGAGTACACTGTGTTTAGAGTAGCTACATACAGCCTACCATCCTCACCTGTGAGGAGTACACTGTTTTTATAGTAGTTACATAAAGCCTACCATCCTCACCCGTGAGTAGAACGCTGTGTTTAGAGTATCTACATACAGCCTACCATCCTCACCTGTAAGGAGGACACTGTGTTTAGAGTAGCTACATACAGCCTACCACCCTCACCTGTGAGGAGAATACTGTGGTAAGATTAGATACATAAAGCCTACCATCCTCACCTGTGAGGAGTACACTGTGTTCAGAGTATCTACATACATCCTACCACCCTCACCTGTGAGGAGAACACTGTGTTTAGAGTATCTACAAAAAGCCTAACATCCTCACCTGTGAGGAGAACACTGTGTTTAGAGTAGCTACATACAGCCTACCACCCTCACCTGTGAGGAGTACACTGTGTTTAGAGTATCTACATACAGCCTACCACCCTCACCTGTGAGGAGTACACTGTGTTTATAGTAGCTACATAAAGCCTACCATCCTCACCTGTGAGGAGAACACTGTGTTTATAGTAGCTACATAAAGCCTACCATCCTCACCTGTGAGGAGAACACTGTGTTTATAGTAGTTACATAAAGCCTACCATCCTCACCTGTGAGGAGAACACTGTGTTTAGAGTAGCTACATAAAGTCTTCCACCCTCACCTGTGAGGAGAGCACTGTGTTTAGGGTAGCTACATAAAGTCTTCCACCCTCACCTGTGAGGAGAGCACTGTGTTTAGGGTAGCTACATAAAGCCTACCACCCTCACCTGTGAGGAGTAAACTGTGTTTAGAGTATCTACATACAGCCTACCACCCTCACCTGTGAGGAGAATACTGTGGTAAGATTAGATACATACAGCCTACCACCCTCACCTGTGAGGAGTAAACTGTGTTTAGAGTAGCTACATAAAGCCTACCATCCTCACCTGTGAGGAGAACACTGTGTTTAGAGTATCTACATAAAGCCTACCACCCTCATCTGTGAGGAGAACACTGTATTTAGTTTAGCTACATTAAGTCTACCACTCTCACCTGTGAGGAGAACACTGTGTATGGCATAATTGGTCCTGTGAAAAATAGAGGGAAGTAGAAGACGTAGAAAAGCATATCTATTGGGCCATATCCTAATGTTAGGTGTGATTCCTCTTCTTTTTCATTAATATCTTTGTGACTGTCGTCTGTGTTTGACCTTTTGACCTTCTCCAGACAGAAACTTGTGTATCTGAGCTGCAGCAGGGCTAGGGTAAACATTAGTAGGTAGATCTTGTAGCCATCAACATCATGAGTGTTTAATGCTTTCTGAAAACACAAAAAATACTTTATATTTTATTTCATATATTAATTATATCAATAGTACAGAAATTCAATAAATATCCAGGTTGTCTTTTTTTACAATTTAAACATAATGCAAATTCTACTCTATGGGAAATTTGAATGTGTGTTACACTTGATGGGAAAGTTGAACGCAAGTCTTATTTGATGCTATAGGGTGTGGAACATAAGTCACAGTACTGTCTCACTTAGGGAGGTGGAACATAAGTCACAGTATTGTCACACATTGGGAGGTAGAACATAAGTCACAGTAATGTCACAAAGGTGGAACTTAAGTCACACTACTGTCACACGTTGTTAGGTAGAACATAAGTCACAGTATTATCTCACTTTGGGAGGTGGAACATAAGTCACAGTATTGTCACACATAGGGAGGTGGAACATAGTCACAGTACTGTCACACTTTGGGAGGTGGAACATTAGTCACAGTACTGTCACACATTGGGAGGTGGAACATAAGTCACAGTTCTGTCACACTTTGGGAAAGTTGAACATAAGTCACAGTTCTGTCACACATTGGGAGGGGAAACTTAAATCACAGTACTGCCACCCATTGGGAGGTGGAACATAAGTCACAGTACTGTCACACATTGGGAGGTGGAACATAAGCACACTACTGTCACACATTGGGAGGTGGAACATAAGTCACAGTATTGTCACACATTGGGAGGTGGAACATAACTGTCACACATTGGGAGGTGGAACATAAAACACCCTACTGTCTCACTTTGGGAGGTGGAACACAAGTCACATTACTGTCACACATTGGGAGGTGGAACATGAGTCACAATACTGTCACACTTTGGGAGGTGGAACATAAGTCACACTAATGTCACACATTGGGAGGTGGAACATAAGTCAAAGTTCTGTCACACTTTGGGAGGTGGAACATAAGTCACAGTTCTGTCACACTTTGGGAAAGTTGAACATACATCACAGTTCTGTCACACATTGGGAGGTGAAACTTAAATCACAGTACTGTCAACCACTGGGAGGTGGAACATAAGTCACAGTACTGTCACACATTGGGAGGTGGAACATAAGCATAGTACTGTCACACTTTGGGATGTAGAACACAAGTCACATTACTGTCACACATTGGGAGGTGGAACATAAGTCACAGTTCTGTCACACTTTGGGAAAGTTGAACATACGTCACAGTTCTGGCACACATTGGGAGGTGAAACTTAAATCACAGTACTGCCACCCATTGGGAGGTGGAACATAAGTCACAGTATTGTCAAACATTGGGAGGTGGAACATAAGTCACATTACTGTCACACATTGGGAGGTTGAACATAAAACACAGTACTGTCACACATTGGGAGGTGGAACATAAGTCACCCTACTGTCTCACTTTGGGAGGTGGAACACAAGTCACATTACTGTCACACATTGGGAGGTGGAACATAAGTCACAGTACTGTCACACATTGGCAGGGGGAACATTAGGCACACTACTGTCACACATTGGGAGGTGGAACATAAGTCACACAACTGTCACATATTGGGAGGTGGAACATTAGTCACATAATTGTCTCCNGTAAAAACATGTGTAATTTATACTTGTACTTGGGAGGTAAAAGCATGTGTTATTTATACTAGTACTTCAGAAGTAGAAACATGTAAATTATACTTGTACTGGGGAGGTTAAACATGTGTAATTTATACTTGTACTGGGGAGGTAAAAACATGTGTAATTTATACTTGTACTTCAGAAGTAGAAACATGTAAATTATACTTGTACTGGGGAGGTAAAAACATGTGTAACTTATCCTTGTACTTGGGAGGTAAAAGCATGTGTTATTTATACTAGTACTTCAGAAGTAGAAACATGTAAATTATACTTGTACTGGGGAGGTTAAACATGTGTAATTTATACTTGTACTGGGGAGGTAAAAACATGTGTAATTTATACTTGTACTTCAGAAGTAGAAACATGTAAATTATACTTGTACTGGGGAGGTAAAAACATGTGTAATTTATACTTGTACTAGGGAGGTAAAAACATGTGTTATTTATACTAGTACTTCAGAAGTAGAAACATGTGTTTCCTCCCTAGTACAAGTTTAATTTACATGTTTCTACTTCTGAAGTTAAAAACATGAAATTCATAACATTAATAAGCATTTGTCCAGATTTGTATGTTTTTTTTGCCGGAAAGATGTGGCTAGCCTATGCATGCCACAAATACTTGTCAAACCACCTAATTATCCCCTTGTAACATTAACTGTGATTGTGATAAAATCAAGGTAATATATACATGTGTCAATCACATGAATTGTACAATTATATAGCTTTATTATACATTTTCACTTCTCTGGTGCTGACTTACATGTACGAAGTTCCAGTCACAGATTCTTGCTAAGGCCATGTGTCCAACATACCAAGGAGTAACCCTCAAGAAATACTGATAGAAAAAGTGCCACTCATAGTTGGAAATGTCCTTCAAAAGATGAATGCAAAATATATCAGTGTTTAACTAATAATTAATTTTGATAAAGCATTATCTATACATACTTTAAAACCAGATTCATTAAAAACAGTATAGGCACTAGTAAACTGTTTGACTACAAACTCTTTTAAATGTGACAAAGGTTTCCTTCAATAGTCCTTCAATCTATAATGCAAGATTATTTTCAGCTCTCAACTCATACAAAAGTTCATAAAGAAATCTATTTCTTATTTTTACCAGTTTTAGTTTTGAAATAAACAAATGTTTTCCTCTCAGACAAGCCTGGTTTTACAAACACTAATGGATTTTAGCAGCTGTACCTATTAAACTTTCATTAATACAATAAAAACTCCAATAAAGTCAAGCATTGTAGTCAAATCAACAGTAACTTAGTGTAAAAGTGAACAGGCTTTATTTATACCTTATCTCTGCCAAGTATTTTCCATCCTTCTTCAAAATCAAACATGTTGAGAAGCCCATCATGTTCTGAAGAAATAAATATCAAAGTACATTATAATATGTATCTGGTTCCATGTACATCTCTATAGCATGTCTGGTCAGTCTAGTGTACTGGTCACAGTATAGGGTACTGATCAGTCTAGTGTACTGGTCACAGTCTAGTGTACTGGTCATAGTCTAGTGTACTGGTCACAGTCTAGTGTACTGATCACAGTCTAGTGTACTGGTCACAGTCTAGTGTACTGGTCATAGTATAGTGCACATATGACAGTCTAATGTACTGGTCACAGTCTAGTGTACTGGTCACTGTACAGTGTACTAGCCACATTCTAGTGTACTGGTGAAAGTCTAGTGTACTGGTCACATCCTAGTGTACTGGTCACAGTCTTGTGTTTTGGTCACGGTCTACTGAACCGTTCACAGTCTAGTATACTGGTCATTTTCTAGTGTACTGGTCACAGTATAGTGTACTGGATACGGTATAGTGAACTGTTCAGTCTAGTGTACTGGTCACAGTCTTGTGTTTTGGTCACGGTCTACTGAACCGTTCACAGTCCAGTGTATTGGTGACAGTCTAGTATACTGGTTATTGTCTAGTGTACTGGTCACATTCTAGTGTACATGTATACGTACTGGTCATAGTTTAGTGTACTGGTCACAGTCTAGTGTACTGGTCACAGTCAAAGTGTACTGGTCACAGTTTAGTCTCCTGATCACAGTCTAGCTTAGGTACTGATCACAGCCTAATCTAGAGTATTAGTCTCAGTCTAGGGAACTGATCACAACCTAGAATTTGTCATGTTGAATCACATTATAAAAGTTTAGGATTAGAGGTTGTGTTGCCAGTAAATATATCTGAATCATTATCATACTTGTTGTAAGTAACAGTGAATTGAACTACGAAGTAACCTTACCTACAGACATCCAGTAGACACAGAGCAAAAGGCACAAATAACATTATCACATTGATCTGTACCAATAAGTTAACTTACCTATGGATGCCCAGTAGACGCAGGCACAAATGTAGATCACCACACTGATATGTACCACTAGGTAAAAACTCAACTCCCATATTGGCAGAGCAGAGATCCCATCATAGTCGTCTTTACTTGGTTCTTTGTTCACTTTCTTTCTCTTCCCCATCTTGGTCCTTATAATGTGCTCAAGCACTGTTCTGTGTTTGTCTTAACACTTGAAAAAAATGATAGGAAACAATCTATATTTTCATTACAAATACAATATTGACACAGTATACTAAATACATATTATCTACATCGAGCCATTTTTCGAAGTAATTTAGTGTTGATGCATGCAAGCTATATAAACCTGTCTCATTCAGTCACACTTTTATTCATCCCTTCTCTTTTTATTGAACAAATAATATGGGGTTCCACACATATCATAGGTATGTTTGTCGATAACTGAATACGAGCAAATATATGTGCACAACTTTGTAGTATACGAGATGCCGACCAGTTCATATCTACGTTGACTTACCAGTCTCAGGGTCTACAGGTAACTGCAGGGTGCCATGGTCTCACTTCATTCTTCCGTCCTTAAGGATGTCATGCCGATCGGACGTTACACATCAGTTAAACGGATCCAGTTTGTGAAAAATGTCGTTGTTTGAAAATACTTGGCTTGTGAAATAGCATACTCCCCCGATAATGAAATACAACACCGCTAATATCAGTTATAAACACATGTAAAGCAAAACACGAAAGAGTTCCAATACACCGCTTTTCTAAACATCACACGTGCACGCGGACAACGGATTGAAACATTTTGGTCTATACGGATTTCAGGTATATAGTCTAACTTGCACAAAATAATAGCATTTAAACCACGGACTTAGATAATAATCTAATTCCGTGTTTAAACATAAAGAATTTTCTTTTATCTTATTTATTTGCAATGGAAAACGTGCATAGCCGTTGATATACTTTTTAATTACTGATATCTGCATATATATACAACTGTATATACTAAAACGAGACCCAGAGGGATATAAGTTAGCAATCATGACAAAATATTCTCATTAAAAACGACGTCGAATCTTTACACACGACCTCTTGATTATTCAGAAGAATTTTTAAATATTTGGAACCAGTGACCCTGAAAAAAGGCAAGGTATTTTATTTGATGAAGCTTTATAGTACTATATTTTAAACATTCTGATCACGGTTCTTCAGAAGATATTTATTTATTCATTTTTTTTTTAAATATTAGGCCCTGCAACCTGGAAAATAGTTCAAGTTCAATAATTTCAACAAACATGATAGCCATGACACATTTAATCCCTGTTTGTAAAAATAGTACAGTATGCTATTCAAAAAGGCCTAAGTTTGATTTCTAGATCTGTACGTGTCTCTCGTTTGAAAGACGCTGAATCGTCTACCGTTTAATACCACAGAACGAAAGACTGGAACGCACTTTCTGACATTATTAAACAGACTAACAGCAGAAGTAGCTTTAAATCTTATGTATTTTTCTTTACTAACTGTAAAATACTAGTGCTATAAAAAGAGTATGGATATCTTTCTGCTATTCCCCTATTGCCATGATTTCGTCGTCGAAGGGATTGGTCTCTCGGCCAGGGGACGGAACCCATTGCCTTCCTCACATGGGCGAACGTTCAACAATAATGCCAAAAGTGAGGTGTTGCCAAGCAAGGCTATAGGAAATAAAACGTAGTTAGAAGTAGAGAGAAAAATCAAATACATGTATCCCAAATATTCCAATGGGTGCAGCAAATTTATTTTGGTCGCTTCTTGTTCCCCACTTTAGTCGCCTCTTATAATACGTGCATTGGGAAACAGAAGGTGTATTTTTTGTTCTCGGTCCCCGTCCTGCAGAGGTGCAGCGATGCGGCCAAGTAAATTCCATCGACAGTGAGTAAAAACACTGTTGACAGGATTAAGACCATTCAAAAGCACTGGCCAAGATGACAATCATAAAGACCTCAGCCAACTGACAACTTGGAAAATTCTTTACCAGGTTCTGTCACTAGACCATGTAGCAATACCCGATGACTTGTGATCAGCCACCTTAGCCCAAATACATAGGAAAGGTGAGAAGCAGTCGTCCACTTTCTCCGACTTCCATCGCAGCATCCATGTACACTGCTGTATCACATAGTCTACAGCACCATGGGTGGTTTCGACCGACACCAGATACTCTGTGACGAACAACATGGATTCAGATTCAAAGAGTCATGTAATCACAATTACTTACAACAGCACATGATATTACTAATGACATCGAGGATGGTTACCACAGTAGATATCATGTTGTTTGACTTTACCGAGGTATCTGACAATATTCCCTACGCCAGACTATTATTCAAGATGGACTACTACGGAATACGATACAAAACACTTAGTTGGTCAAGAAACATTCTTTCAAACAGATCTCAATTTGTAATTCTAGACAACCACAAATCTGAGCAACTTGATATAACATCCGGGTTCTACAAGGCACGGTGACGGGGTCTTTATTATTTTGGCATAACATCAAATACTGGGCTATAGGTGTACAGTCATCCGTGCCCCAGGACGAGTCAACTCCACTCGACGTTCCACACCTTTCATAATGGACACACGCTAGTAGTGGACAGCAATGAATACCTTAGAATGACCTACTGCAAAGATCTGATGGGGAAACAAACTTATCAATTAGTCAACTGGTAAAGCCTCTTTGACCTTTGATATTCCTAGGAAGAATATATACGGATTTGTACTGGAGACATTAAAACGCCAAAACACATCACCTTGGTACGACCAACCCTAGAGTATTACGTCTCTCCAGTATGGGATCACTTCCTGGGTTTGTGTCCTCATGCATGGACTCGGAGTATCCACCTGGCTCGGATAGTGACACTTTCAAATCTACCCTTTCAACCACGATTCTTCTTTAATAATACTGATATTCAAATAACTGAAAATCATAAACACCTTGGCGTCAATTTAAGCAGTGATGGGAAATGCACAGAGCATATAGATGATATTATTCGTAAAGCTTCCAAATATATTGCAACGTTAAGAAAACTTAGCAGAAATAATCTTGACAAAATCTATCTGACATATATCCGACCACTTCTTGAATATGCATGTGGGGTATGGGATAATTGTGGGGAAGCTAATTCATTAAATATTGAAAAAACTCCAGTTAGAAGCCGCTCGGATTGTCACAGGGTTGCCCATACATATACTAAACTTGAGTTACTATACACCGAAACGGGTTGGACACCATTATGAGTTGAAAGAAAGATCCGTAAATTGTCAATGTTTTATACAATAAATAACGATATTGCCCCCGAATACTTTTTTTTAAATCGATAATAAAGAAAAGTATCAATAAGAACGATAATAAACTTTTGGAGCACGTAAATCTAACATATTACATTGTCGTTTAAGAAATCGTGCGAGTTCTTTAAACTATGATTTATTTAGAGCAAATTTAATTGTAGTTGTGGGTATCCCTGTGAGGATTCAAACCATTTCTTTTTTACCTGTCCTAAATATAATCTATCCGACTTTCATTTTTTAGGTCAATGTCATGGTACCCTGGTCAAGTAAATATTGATCTTTTACTGAAAGGAGATATCAATCTAAGAAATAATGATAACTCAAATATTGCAAGAATAGTTCAACTCTACATAGACAGAACTCGCAGGTTTGAATAGTTGCGTCCCCTACACTTTCACTTCTTCTCACTCTTTCTACTTTCATGATAAGTAAATTGATAATGAACGTGTATTATGTGTATAATTTGATATTATTTACTTACTGCCTATTACTTTTATGATTTGATTGTGTTCACAACAAAACATGCACTTTTCATTATACACATGTATTCATCTATCCTCCCCATATACAACTGTTATCTGATTACCGTACACAGCTAACATTCACAATCTATATAAAACAATATATTTGCTATGTGGGTGGTCATTTTCCACGAAGACGAACAAGTGGAAACGTATTTCAACAGCAAGGAAGGAATGTCAAGGACAAAGTCAACCAAGGTACGGGATGTAATGGACACTAGACAAGCTGAAGGAGTGTGAAAAGCGATTAGTTTATCACAAGCTCCGTCTTCGTGGAAAATGAACTCTCACATGGCTCTCAATCTAGATGAAAACTAATTATACTATGCAATAAAGCTTAAGTTAGCTGTGTCCAAAGATTTTTCGAAAGATATCTCGATCTCTTCTTTGTCCTCTCTCTTACCTACAATTCTTTCTTGTCATATGTATATTTAAGTAGCTCTGACATTGCGTGATATGTATTATAATCAATTAATTTTTGTCCAAGAGGACATCAATAAGTTGGCAAAACTCATGTCCAATTCGTTTGCAACATCTGTTATTTGCAATAAAAATATGTTTCAATCAAAAATCAACTGGCTCGGACCTGCCCGTCAGCTTTGCCTGAAGTTGCAAAGCTGTTTGGTTCTTGTTTCTCTTCCTTTTTTACAAACTTTCTGCTAAATTGATGGTATCTTCCCTTTCCTCCAAACCATTTTCAGCAATTTCCGTATGTGTTTCAGAATCTTTGGGTACTTTTTATTTAACCAAGAAAGAACAATGAGTATTATAGATGTCGATTATGAATTTGATCTACTTCCCTAGATTTCTAGTCAGATTCAGTTTGCCTTGGTGATAATTCTGGGTTTCATCCAGCTCCACATTGATACGTGTAGTCTTCAAAAATAGATTTATTTGATTTTTGTTATCTTTGTGCAACGCCATAATTTAGAAGTAATCTCTCACAGGCTTGTCTATATTGTTTTACCAGGTTCTAATCATATTGAGGGAATGCTGACGTACTTTTGTGTTTTTATCCGAGTTTGTACTGATGAACATTGTTGGCACTATATTGTTTCTCCTCAAAATGACAAGTCAAACATCCCTGCTCCCTACACCCGTGGAAATGGCACGTTTCTTATTTCCTGTGTTAGACCGTTCCTCACTTACTGCTAGATTGATAACTATGATATGACCGGAAAAGATAGTCCACACCCATATAAAGTTAACCATGCCCAAAGAGTGTTAACTTCATTCGGAAACAAAAACCTACTATGCACTGTCGAGGATGCCAGTTTTGGACAAGGCTGATCTTCTTCCTTTTTTTAAGCCTGATGATTCAAGTGGTTTTAGCACGGACTTATTCCGTGGTTTAAGAAAGTAATTCTTTCTGCAGATTTTTCTTTGACGTCCATGAAGTGGTCAAGCCACAAAACAGTAAACTGACGTAGTAAATTGTCAAAACAGTTAACTGACGTAGCAAACTCTCAAAACAGTAAACTGGCGTAATAAATTGTCAAAACAGTAAACTGACGTAGTAAATTTTCAAAACAGTTAACTGGCGTAGTAAATTGTCAAAACAGTAAACTGACGTAGTAAATTGTCTAAACAGTGAACTGGCGTAGTAAATTGTCAAAACAGTGAACTGGCGTAGTAAATTGTCAAAACAGTTAACTGGCGTAGTAAATTGTCAAAACAGTTAACTGACGTAGTAAACCGTCAAAACAGTAAACTGACGTAGTAAATTGTCAAAACAGTAAACTGACGTAGTAAATTGTTAAAACAGTAAACTGACGTAGTAAATTGTCAAAACCGTTAATTGGCGTAGTAAACTCTCAAAACAGTAAACTGGCGTAGTAAATTGTCAAAACAGTAAACTGACGTAGTAAATTGTCAAAACAGTAAACTGGCGTAGTAAACTGTCAAAACAGTAAACTGACGATTTAAATTGTCAAAACAGTAAACTGACGGAGTAAATTGTTAAAACAGTAAAGTGGCGTAGTAAACTGTCAAAACAGTAAACTGACGATTTAAATTGTCAAAACCGTAAACTGACGTAGTAAATTGTCAAAACAGTAAACTGACGAAGTAAATTGTCAAAACCGTAAACTGACGTAGTAAATTGTTAAAACCATAAACTGACCTAGTAAATTGTCAAAACCGTAAGCTGGCGTAGTAAATTGTCAAAACAGTAAACTGACGTAGTAAATTGTCAAAACCGTAAACTGACGTAGTAAATTGTCAAAAAAGTAACCTGCCGTAGTAAATTGTCAAAACCGTCAACCAAAGTTAAATGTTCTACGTACATTTTATTAGTCGGCCTTTGCCTCGAGTTGGCAACAATATTCTTTACTGATGTAATGTATCAATATCAGTGTACCTTTTAGCTGATCCTCGTCATCTTCTGGATACCAGTGTGCCATCAATTATGATGATTTTTCAGTAGGTGTTAGGCCTAGTTAAAAGAAAACGCATTGCAGAGGGCTGATTTAGAGTTGACAGAAGTAGGACACTGTGATAGCGGTATTGAAATCACCGACTGTGTCAATCGAAACGTAATACCGAGTGGGTAGATTCGATTATGTTATAGTTCCAGGATAGATAGGGTGTTTAAAACAGTCTCTGGACGTTTGGATGTGTTGTATGGTATATGGTTTGTGATGGCTTGCAGTGGCGTAGCAAATCATTTTTCGGAGTGTATATATATATATAGGTATGGGAGGAACATAAATTCTATTAGGCCATAGAAGCAATCTCCCGTGCCTTGGGAACTTTTTATTGACTGATTATTAACAAGTCAAACCCGTCTTTTTATATGAATATTATTAAATTTTGTACTTCATTAAGTAGTTTTTTATTTACATAAACCTTCGAGATTTGTCAATGTGTAAAGACATAACATAACAACACTATTTTATCAGATTAAAATATTCAAGAAGATTATTTCCGTTTTTATGATTAATAAAAATATCTATGATTAAAAAAAATCTTGAAAATGTTAGTGTATGGATGTTATGCCACTGGCTTGAGCGAGTGCGGTGGTCGACAGGGATAAGAATATTTACTGGATGGGGGTATATGATGTTATTCTTCCCACTAGGGAAGAAAATGGATCTGATTGCCTCCTGGAACATCTTGACTGGTTTGTTAAGCCTGTTACCAACACTCCCAGCTGCTCCAATGCTACTTAAATGCCTTTCTCAACAGTGTAATTTTCAGTTCACGAATGTCATCTTAATTGTCTAACAAGATGAATATTGTATGCCGAATCTACACATGCAAAATTGATGTATATCTCAAATTTGTACATATTTGTCGTTTTTCTTTGTTGTCTAAGAAAACTCAATGTTAAATATGAATAAGAGGTTAACATGCCTAAAATCTGTTGTTAATTGATATTTTAACTAGAACATGTTTCTAACAATATGTGACAAATGTGCAAATTTTGTTTCTTAATTACTACAATTATAATAACAACACTTGATAAGAGCAAACACTGAAACACTTCCAAGTTTAAATTGATCTGATAGACGCTACTCATCAGAGATTAGATTGTCCATCTTTGATTACAAATTGACTATAAATGTGAACAAAATTCGGGGTCATGAGGAGAATTTGTAAAATATTTTCTAGACAGTGGCCAGATGGAAGTTGGAATAAGTCGAAAACGTCTCTGCCTATCTTGGATTTCCAATCAGCTTGAAAAATTAAAAACTCTTGGTCACAGACACGGCATCAGCTGATTATTTCCACAGTGTTTTGTCACAATCAAACCTCTCACGTCCAGGGTTGCTCTATCATACCAAATTCTACTCAAACATAGTATTCTATTTGCACCCTTCAGGGCTGGGGGCAATTCCCGTCACTTACTCGCTTGGCTCAGGAATGCTTCATACCACATTAAAGTTAATGCCTTCATTCATACATGTATGCGAAGGGTAGTTTTTAAAAACATTTTTCCAATTGAACATTAAACTGCTACCTTCATTAGTTTATAAATATTTGAATCATCTTTAACGGCCTGCATCATTCACCTGTTCCCTGTGTTATCTGAACTGAAGAAGTTGACGTATTTCTACTTTATATAATTAATTGATGGTGGCTATCTCAGATTTCTTGCTGACCAAATAATTGGTATAACAGCACTTCGTAAAGGCAACGACAAGAAGTCTTACGACGATTGGGGTAGAATTGAGAATTGATTGAAAACGTATTTAAGGTAATCAGGAGACAGCGTTGCTATTTTCAATTTCAAATAAATTCAAAATAACAGCACCTGTTCCTGTTTCGATGGGCCTGAAGTGGCTTAGAAGACTTGGATTATAACCATGGGAAATAATTGTATAACATTTTGTTTAAATCGTTCCAATGGAAATTGAGAAACAGTTGTAAACGTCTTAGCCATTCAGCAGCCATAAGCATTAGAAAAACCTGATCATTGGGTGATCATTTGCACCAACTTTGGTTAACATTTGTCCATTAGAACTACGAAATTGAAAACGTTTCTGTCCCTATTTGGCCCTACCACCCTGCCTGTCCCATAGCAGAGTCCTTGGTTTATATATCAAATCCCCGTCACCGTCACCGTCACCGAATACCCAATGCTTTATAAACCAATAGCTCAAAGCTTCGTTATAATTAACCAGTGGTTAATGAAAATATATAAAACAAAATCTAGAATATCTTATATCAATTCCCTGCTATAGATTGTTGAAATAAATATATTGATGTGTTTGAGGATTTAATTTGCCTTGTAAATCCTTTGATTTTCTTAGCAACAATTTTGATTTTTTCACTAACCCGTGGTTTAAGTTAACCAACCTTTGAGCAACAATTTGGATTTTTCACTAATCCCTGGTTTAAGTTAACCAACCTTTGAGCAACAATTTGAATTTTTCACTAATCCCTGGTTTATGTTAACCAACCTTTGCGCAACAATTTGAATTGTTTACTAATCCATGGTTCAAGTTAACCAACCTTTGAGCAACAATTTGAATTTTTCACTAACCCATGGTTTAAGTTAACCAACCTTTGAGCAACAATTTGGATTTTTTTCACTAATCCCTGGTTTAAGTTAACCAACCTTTGAGCAACAATTTGAATTTTTCACTAATCCCTAGTTTAAGTTAACCAACCTTTGAGCAATAATTTGATTTTTTCAATACCTGCTGGTTAAAGCTTATTAAGCATTGAGCAACTGGGCCCAGGATGTCACAACATTCATTTAAACAACATTGTATTCCTCTTGGCCCCCATTTTACTACCAATTGGGAGTCAACCTTTATTTATGTAAACTGAATCTGTTTGGTACAGAGCCGATTCATACCATACTAGGTTCAATTCCCCTCATTCATACTTGTAGATTATTGCTACAAAATATACCACTAATTTCCTACATGGAGTATTGAGCTCCACCCCTCTGCCCTAAGGATCCCTTGGTCCAAAGATGCTCATTTGATTGAAGTGCCCATTAAACATCATACAAGATTCTATTTTTATTTAACTTTTAAATAATTGTGACTAGATGATATGAATAAACTAATTTAACAACAGTGCAATGAGAATTATTCTGTACCTTTTCTATATGACTACAAACATTACTGTGTGGTATACACAAGATCAATGGTATGAGGCTACACCGAGGAACAACCAAACTGGCCAACTACCAAGATCAGAAAGAAGTAAAAGCTTGATATAATTAGAATGATTTTAATGTTATCAAATAAATTATTATTCTTTTGCTGAGGTATGTAAAACGTCATAAAACAAATATTACATCCATGATTCCAACTTCATTTCATTCATGAAAACGAAAGTATTAATATCAGTGGAACAAGAATTCCACGGAATGTGTCGCCTGCTGAGCGCTTTTAGTAAGGAAAGTGTTTTGGCTTGAGTTATCACGTAAACAGATATGCCAAAACGCCGAAAGTTGAAACTCGACAGAAAAACCTGTAACATATGTTGAACATTATTGCTTCTAGCATTAAAAGGGGCACAAAATGCACGTAAACTTCTGAAGAGCTATATTGGTATGCAATATGTGTACCAAGTTTGAGTTCAATTAACCCAAGGGAACTCAAGTTATCGGACGCCCACAAAGTAATACCTATATGTCGTCTCGCGTTGCAGGCGACACAAAAATGATATACAATTATATTCAGTTTTAAAATCGTGTCACAACAACACAACAAGTCTGAGTTGCTGAGTATCGGTTTATAACAGAAACAATCAATGTACTTTTCAAATTTTACAACGTTTATTACAAGGAAAGCATTTGTTCCTATTTCAGTCATACCATGTTTCTCTTCATGAAATTGGTCCATTTCTACCAAGCTGATATGTAGAACTGCAAAATAACCTGGTTTGACAGCTACAATAAAATTGTATAACCTCAATGTCTGTCTATCTTTCTGGCTATCAATTTCTGTACACTAAGTGTTGAGTACACCTGTACTGCATTGTATGCACACCTTGTCCTTGTCCCATAGGGATGGATAAGAAGACTATGTACACTTGATCCATGTCATAGCTTGCCCTGTGAGCTGTTTCTACACATCAACACGTTCACACAGTCAGATGATCCGTTATAACTTAGAGAACTTTGGTGTCTTTTTCTCCATGCCAGCCATTACAGCCTTCATTACGTCCTCACTCTGTAGCATCCCCTGGTTCCAGACCGCCTACAAACCAACAACATCTCAGTCATCACACACATATAATCTGTGACTATTCTTATCATGTATTCGGAAATTTATTGTGGCAGGTTTTAATGGTACATAGGATTATGGTCACTTTCTATCTTTACACTACAGGAAATTTCCCCTTTGGCTCAATTGGTAGAGCGTCCGACTAGGAAGCTGAGGGTCACTGGTTTGATCCCTAGTGGAAGCACACTACTCTCTTTCCTGTTATACCATCATTCTTTCTGTTAAGGCTCTTTAATGAGGAAATTGTAGTGTAGCCTGGAAGATATAACTCAGGTATTATACCTTCAAGGGAGCTAATTATGGCAAATATGGTATATGATAATGCAGCTGTGACAAGCTGATACAGATTTATAAAGTGACCATGACAAGCTTAAGGTGTAAAAAAATATAATGTAAACATGGGCTATGGAAAAGTGTTAAGGCAACAGGAGGTAAAGAACTGTATCTTATCTGTTGTTCTGCAATAACAGATGACATAATAATCTAATAATCAAGGCTGTGAGGATGAAATGTTGTTTATAAAACTGAAATTGTATATTACATACTTCAGGAGGCCTTCATTTCTTACACACGTGCTGAGGAATAAATACAAAAGGGAAAAAAAACACCTACTGCTGAAAGTATCATGTGCTGTATATGAAACACAGCAATGGCTACACTACAGTGGTAATATTGCTATGCAGATCAATGGACCTGTTTGCTACCTACCACATGTTCCAGCCCTTCCCGAACAGAGTGATCGCGGGAGAACACCAGTGACACCTTGCTGCCTTGGACTGCTACAGGACTCTTACTGGCAATGATCTCTGCTATGTCCATGGCTCCCGTTAGCATGGACTCCTTGTCTGGAAAGATCCGACTGTCAAAAAGGGCATGAATTATTCACCAACTATTTTTGTCTATTTATTGAGAAAACAGTTTTATTATTTCATTATCGCAATTATTTCGATATCAATCGATCTTCAAACTAAACAGCACATAATTTATTTTAACATAAAATACACAATAGTTATTTACCTGACAAAGCCCATTTCTTTTGCTTCATCGCTGTGGAATCTCCGTGCTGTGTATATCAGCTCTCGCACTAAACTATCATTTCCAACAATTTTAGGAAACCTTTGAAGAGTTCCAACATCTGCTGCCAGGCCGATGTCAACTTCCTGTTGAACACAGATTACAAACACACATGACCAATATTTCATCGACAACACAGAAAACAAAGATGATCAACCCTTTATAAACGATTGAGGAATGAATTATAACTGTTGAAAGATTGGAATGTTGATGTCGATTTACCAACCGCCATCAAATCTGTCTTAACACCTTAAAACATATAAACCTTTGAATCATCTGAATATAACCTATGTTTTGAGATAACCATTCTATTCTGTTATTGTGTTAAATGATTCAATTACAGTGAATATACATCAGTTTTAAGTAAAAACATTTATCTGTTGATATCAACTCAAACAGCATAAAAATTACAGGTGAGAGAGAAGAGAAAGCAAAAGTTAAAAACAAATATTCGAACATTGAATAAAATAAATAGAATTCAGATACCGAATTTTGTACCTTTATTTGAAAAAATGAATCTTGTGTGGCATATCTGATGTCGCAGGCTGATGTCATGTCTATCCCTCCACCTATACAGGCGTTGTGTATTGCTGCTATCACTGGCTTAGTACACTGAAACACACACAAAGGGACAAGGATATAGCTAACTACATATCAAATTTATCGTAGAATATCATATGACAGTTGTGTATTGCTGCTATCACTGGCTTAGTACACTAAAACACACACAAAGGGACAAGGATATATCGAACTACATATGGCTTAGTACACTGAAACACACGCAAAGGGACGAGGATATATCTAACTACATAAGGCTTAGTACACTGAAACACACACAAAGGGCGGAGGAAATATCTAACTCCATATGGCTTAGTACACTGAAACACACGCAAAGGGACGAGGATATATCTAACTACATATGGATTAGTACACTGAAACACACACAAAGGGACGAGGAGATATCTAACTACATATGGCTTAGTACACTGAAACGCACACAAAGGGACGAGGAAATATCTAACTACATATGGCTTAGTACACGGAAACACACACAAAGGGACGAGGATATAGCTATCTACATATTAAATTTATCGTAGAATATCATATGACAGTTGTGTATTGCTGCTATCACTGGCTTAGTACACTGAAACACAAACAAAGGGACGAGGATATATCTAACTACATATGGATTAGTACACTGAAACACACACAAAGGGCGGAGGAAATATCTAACTCCATATGGCTTAGTACACTGAAACACACGCAAAGGGACGAGGATATATCTAACTACATATGGCGTAGTACACTGAAACACACACAAAGGGACGAGGATATAGCTATCTACATATCAAATTTATCGTAGAATATCATATGACATCTTTATCCTATATTCTTTTCCATTTTCTTCCATGTCAACTGGACTGCCATTACTGACATACTGTGACTACTAAAACAATGTCATACATCTGGTACTTATTTTGACAGGCAACTTTAAGTGATTATACTTTGTATTTGTATGAAAGGCCCCTGGAAAGAAATAATCATGAAGTAGGTCACAAAAGTGTGACCACCTTTCATATATTGTTTTTGAAATATCATGGTAGAGCCTTCACACGTACAGCACATTCTGGACAAGCGAGTCATTGTGACCGTCCTGACACACATTCTGGACAAGCGAGTCATTGTGACCGTCCTGACACACATTCTGGACAAGCGAGTCATTGTGACCGTCCTGACACACATTCTGGACAAGCGAGTCATTGTGACCGTCCTGACACACATTCTGGACAAGCGAGTCATTGTGACCGTCCTGACACACATTCTGGACAAGCGAGTCATTGTGACCGTCCTGACACACATTCTGGACAAGCGAGTCATTGTGACCGTCCTGACACACATTCTGGACAAGCGAGTCATTGTGACCGTCCTGACACACATTCTGGACAAGCGAGTCATTGTGACCGTCCTGACACACATTCTGGACAAGCGAGTCATNCACATTCTGGACAAGCGAGTCATTGTGACCGTCCTGACACACATTCTGGACAAGCGAGTCATTGTGACCGTCCTGACACACATTCTGGACAAGCGAGTCATTGTGACCGTCCTGACACACATTCTGGACAAGCGAGTCATTGTGACCGTCCTGACACACATTCTGGACAAGCGAGTCATTGTGACCGTCCTGACACACATTCTGGACAAGCGAGTCATTGTGACCGTCCTGACACAGATTCTCAATAATATTACCATTTAGGCTTGGGTTTTTTTAATATGCATTTTAGATAAAAACTAAATGCGCCTATGTAAGGAATACTTCAGTCATTAATTGAATTTAACAAGGATTGTAATACATTTTCATAATACTGATGATAAATCTAATTCTTATTCTGCAGCCTATATCGGAACCTGCAGGTACAGGTTGTAATAAAAAACAAATTGAGGATGGGCTGACATAGATATACCTCCACCCTCTCAAGGTGGTAAAGTATGACCTTTGACCCTTTATCCTTGAATGATGACATTCAAAAACTATTCAGCTGTAGAAATTGATGTTACCATACCGGTAATATGCTGGAAGTATAAACCAAATCAGTTGAGGGGTTCATGAGATACCCGAGTCCTTTGACCATTTAACCTCGACCATTGGCCACCTAATTCACATCAAATGTAGAACTATGAGCTGAATCTGTGGAGGGGATCATTAGTCCAAATTATTGTGACGTTTTATCGACTTTTTTATATCGATACATGTACATCATGAATGGACAGACACAAAGATGCAGTGACAAAGCGATTAGTATATATAGTATATAAACAGTTTGTAAAGAAAAGCTCCCTGGTCTCAAAACACTCTTTTAGATTAATTTCTGTTATCACAAAACAAATACTATTGTTCTTACATTTCTATTAGGGTACAATCAATTTTATATTTTCAAAGAATACCCATTACAGTCTGCTGTATGTGAAATTTCCCAAACCTTCTCTTCATTTGATTAACCTTGTTATAACATGACTAACATCCTACCAGGTAGAAACTAAATCATTAAAATTTCAAAACAATAGATGTTTTTATGTAACAACTTCCACAAGGGACCAAATAATACAAACCTTTTCTATAACAGTAAATGTTTCCTGATAATCAGCAATAGTCCCACGTATCATGAAGGCTTTCCGGGAAGGGTCTAGGTCTGACTGCATGACAGCAACTGTATCCAGGTCAGTGAGGTCAAGACCTAAAACAATTTAGGTTTCTTTTCAGAATAGTCACCGACTCTGAATGCCCTATCTCCCTCAGACAGAATCACCCCCTGTACTTAGCTGAAACTTGCAGCTGTTCCCACTCCCATCTACAGAACTTACCTTTCAAATACATTGGAAAATCTCTTTGAGTTATAAGGAAGTAGGTTTGGGTATATAACTTGAGGTTCAGCACAATGACAGGTTTAAGAACACAGCATCAGTTACATGCAAGACATATTTCAAAGCTTTCCTTCTGACGTTCATTTTGTATAAACTCATTTCAATTGCATGCCAGTCAGTCAAATCATTACCTACCAGTTATATATCACCGGCCCTCTGATATTCTAAGGTATCACTTACTAGTTGGGAATAGCTATAATGGCTATAATATAAATAACCAATCTCTGCCATCAGATATAACCAGATGTGAACATATCATCATCCCCCTCCCAAACCATGTTTTGACTAATGTTAACACCTTGACACACCCCTCCCCAAGTATGATTTACCTGAAGTGAACACCTGACCAACCCCCCACCCAAGTATGATTTACCTGATGTGATTACATTTCCAGCCCCTCAGTGTGTATGTCTTACCTGATGTGAATACCTCACCAACCCCTCAGTGTGAATGTCTTACCTGATGTGAAACCATTGTCAGCCCCCTCAGTGTGTATGTCTTACCTGATATTATTACATTGCCAGCCCCTTCAGTGTGTATGTCTTACCTGTTATTATTACATTGTCAGCCCCCTCAGTTTGTATGTTTTACCTGATGTGCATCCCTAACCAGCCCCTCAGTGTGTATGTCTTACCTGATGTGATTACATTACCAGCCCCTCAGTGTGTATGTCTTTCCTGATGTGAATACCTCACCAACCCCTCAGTGTGTATGTCTTACCTGATGTGAATACCTAACCAACCTCTCAGTGTGAATGTCTTACCTGATGTGAATACCTAACCAGCCCCTCAGTGTGTATGTCTTACCTGATTTGAATACCTCACCAACCCCTCAGTTTGTATGTTTTACCTGATGTGAATACCTAACCAGCCCCTCAGTGTGTATGTCTTACCTGCTGTGAACACTTTTCCAGCTCCAGACAAAACTATAACTCTACAATCACTGTCACTGTTCAGCTGTTGAAAACACGTTCGCATCTCACTAGGAATTAAATTAAAAAACATTAAAGTCTGAGAAAAGGGGTGGATAATAAGAAATCGGAGGTTGGATTTGAGTAATTATACCTGTAATGTTTGATTGTTTACTGTGTTCAGGTGCTTCCCTGTTAGTTTACTTTTGCACACATTTAAGGTAAAAATCTATTTTTTCATGATGCCTTCATGAAGACAAATATTACCTCCAGAATGCCTTGTTCATTGCATTCAACTTTTTTGGTCTGTTCATTTCTACTTGGGTAACAAACTCCTTTGGCTGGGTAACCTTGAGTGTCTCAAAGTTATACTTGGAAGTGACATCTGCCGACATACTTCTGGCCGATCCCAAGAGAAGAGGCTTCAAAACTGGTTTTAGAAATACCCCTTGAGGATAAAGTGAAAGTTCAATGATACAGTGATATTATACAATACTTTGGGAAACTTTCAAAAGTTTCTGGTTTAAAAATAAAGCAGATTGTTAATCTAAAATTTCAAGACAGTACAGATCAGATATGAATTAAGATATGAAATGTGAGGGATTACTACCAGATATGTTCTATGAAAATGGCAGCAGTAACCGCTGTATGGGAAATTAAATTTCTGGTGCCTGGCAAATGCATACAAGAATCTTGGTATGGGAGACTAAATTTTACCAGTAGAAATATGTTTAAGTCAAGAGTTACATGATAAATTAGAATTTGTTAATGCCAGGTTAGTTCTTGTGGTGGAATAATGGATCAGTCTTTTTCTCCATAGCCGTATCCAAATAAACCTTGTATTTTGTTACACTTTTAACATGTTTATCGCATTACTACAAACTGTTGATGTATTTGTTTATGTGTAACTGGTTTTCCAGTAGTAAGTACTGCATGCAAATATGGACTCCTCTATCCTTGCAGTCCACAACAAAAATATATACACATATATGATATCTCACAGAAATAGCTACTAAATCTTGGTGGGGACTCCTGGATAAAATATATGGAATCTGAAAAACAAAACAATTACATTTAAAGTACCTGAGTTAAGCGACAACAGCAATGCTTATGTCGAGAAAGGTTGTCACAATTGCAGTCCCACTTTTTCACACTGTCACCTGTTCACTAACATGCATTTGCCTATCAGTATCAGTACAAAGGTCACACGTATAAAATTGAAGTTATGTGAACGTTTATCTGCATTATAACATCGTTTCTGCTCGCTGTTACCTCGAGATGAACTTTTCATAAGTTGAGTAATTATCTTCATTCTTCTCAATTTATCATAAACAAGACTTTCCGTCGATTTTTTGCCGCAGTCGTCGGTTTCATAATAAAACTAGAAACCTTCCGAATGGTGGTTTAGTTTCGCTTTGTCATTGCCAATCAAAACGAATTTTACATTGGGAGTTACTTTCGGAACACCCGAAACGTGAAAAATAAACATGTCGTCTTCACCTTCATGGTTTTGGCTGACTGTTGTCGGGGGCGGACTTTCTGCTGTAGCATTGTGTATTCTTAAAAGGTGTTCTCGAACCCCTATTAAATGCGCCAGCTTACGTTTGATGTCGGGTAAAACGGTCCTTATCACGGGAGCAAACTGTGGACTAGGAAAAGCAACAGCCTTAGAACTAGCTAAACGTGACGCTAGGGTGATCCTGGCATGTCGAGATCTGGTAAAAGCAAAGCAGGCTATGGATGACATTCGTCAGAAGACAACGAAAGGAGAACTACAAATTGCAAAACTCGACTTGTCGTCGATGTCGTCTGTGAAGCAGTTCTGTACGAATATAAATGCACAGGAGAACAGATTGGACGTGTTGATAAACAATGCAGCTGTCATGGCACATCCTTTCACCATTACTGAAGATGGTTTAGAAATAAACATGGCTGTCAACCACTTTGGAAACTTTCTGATGACAAACCTTCTTTTGGATCTATTGAAGAAATCGAGCCCAAGTAGAATTGTCTTTGTATCTTCTAGCCTTCACAAGTTTGGAAATATCAACTTGAAATATTTGAATAGTAAGCACAACAATCCGTATGCTGACAGTAAATTAGCTAATATTTACTTTGCAAGGGAACTGCACTTACGACTTAAAGGCACTGGGGTATCTGTTCACACCCTGTCCCCAGGAATGGTCAACACAGAGCTTGGAAGACATAGATTATCTAAGGTGCTGAAATTCTGTTTACAGCCACTGTTAGGATTATTGATAAAGTCACCGGAAGAAGGATGTCAAACCATCGTTCACTGTGCAATTTCAGAAAAACTTGACAATGTTTCTGGTGGCTATTATGCAAATTGTGAAAAAAGTGAATGGAGTGAAATTTCTCAAAAAAATGTGCCTGAATTGTATCAGATTAGTGAAAAGTTGACAGGTCTTTAGACATTATTAGTGAATTGTTTTCATAGCATCTCAGTTTACTTTTGTTTTGAAGCAATCAAAAACACTCTTGACAAAATCAAAGGTTCTGTATGTATCGTTTGAATATATTACAACAAAGTAATGCTGGGAAATCAAGTGTATGTGGATTTCTTTTTCACGCCATATGTACACTTTGAACCTCGTTGAATTAATTAACATAAGCTTTTTAATGTCAGATACTACATTGTCCAGGTGCAGAAGAGGTATTTTTTTTTTACATTTTGTATGTATTGCTATGATGTGTTGAACTTGATCAACTATTTGAAAGAAATAATAGATTTGATTGAAATCCCTTTTTTTGGTGTTCATTTGTTCATTTTACAAAAGCACTCTTAGCTATTGGTCAAAAGCAGGATCAGCAGTATCGTCCTGCAGTAAAATCATTTTCTCCAGTCAACTGTCACATGTTATTTTCCTTTTAAGTTTATAGTAAATTACATTTAAACTGTCACTTTAAGAATAGTGTATGATAAATCCTTTACCTGTTTAAAACCATCAATAGGTTTTCAACATAAAAGCGTGGTAGCCTAAGATTCTAATTTCAGTAGAAATAGGTTGATAGGGCTAATTAACTGCAGATAGAACACATCATAACTATGATTAAAATAAAATGCTCAAAATTGCAACTACTTGTTTGTCATGTTAGAAGTGTTGACAAGTTATTTGAATGATTGTTTGATATGTTGATAGAGCTATAGCATCGTATGGAATGTTAGGTATTGGTTGAAGTGAGCACGGTGATTAAGAATTCTATGTCACAGACCATTGCAAAATAAACTATGCAAAACCTTTACTATAGTAATTATAATAGAGTCATATTATCTTAATGAAGGAGTGATAAAATGTGTAATAAGATTGATAGTGCTCATGGAATGAGTAAAATGATGGGGTTCCAGGGAGGGAGTAGAATGATAGGTACCCACGGAGTAAGCAGAATGAAAGGGACCCAGGGAGTGAGTAGAATGATGGAGATCCATGGAGTAAGCAGGATGCTGGGGACCCAGGGAGTGAGCAGAATGATAGGGACCCAGGGAGTGAGTAGAATGATGGAGATCTAGAGAGTGATTAAAATGATTGAGATCTAGGGAGTGAGTAGAATGATAATGATCCAGGGAGTGAGCAGAATGATAGGGACCCAGGGAGTGAGTAGAATGACGGAGATCCAGGGAGTAAGCAGAATGATGGGGACCCAGGGAGTGAGCAGAATGATAGGGACCCAGGGAGTGAGTAGAATGATAGGGACCCAGGTATTGAGTAGAATGATGGAGATCCAGGGAGTAAGCAGAATGATGGGCACCCAGGGAGTGAGCAGAATGATAGGGACCCAGAGAGTTAGTAGAATTATGGAGATCCAGAGAGTGAGTAAAATGATTGAGATCTAGGGTTTGAGTAGAATGATGATCCAGGGAGAAAGCAGAATGATGGAGATCCAGGGATTGAGTAGACTGATAATAATCCAGAGAGTGAGTAAAGTGATGGCAAGCTAGGGAGAGAGTAGAATGGTAGGGGCCCATGAAGTGAGTGGGTTTCCAGAGAGTGAGTAAAGTGATGGCAAGCTAGGGAGAGAGTAGAATGGTAGGGGCCCATGAAGTGAGTGGGTTTCCAGAGAGTGAGTAAAGTGATGGCAAGCTAGGGAGAGAGTAGAATGGTAGGGGCCCATGAAGTGAGTGGGTTTCCAGAGAGTGAGTAAAGTGATGGCAAGCTAGGGAGAGAGTAGAATGGTAGGGGCCCATGAAGTGAGTGGGTTTCCAGAGAGTGAGTAAAGTGATGGCAAGCTAGGGAGAGAGTAGAATGGTAGGGGCCCATGAAGTGAGTGGGTTTCCAGAGAGTGAGTAAAGTGATGGCAAGCTAGGGAGAGAGTAGAATGGTAGGGGCCCATGAAGTGAGTAGAATGGTAGGGACCCAGGGAGTGAGTAGAATGATAGGGACCCAGGGAGTGAGTAGAATGATGGAGATCCAGGGAGTAAGCAGAATGATAGGGACCCAGGGAGTAAGTAGAATGATAGGGACCCAGGGAGTGAGTAGAATGATGGAGATCCATGGAGTAAGCAGGATTCTGGGGACCCAGGGAGTGAGCAGAATGATAGGGACCCAGGGAGTTAGTAAAATTATGGAGATCCAGAGAGTGAGTAAAATTATTGATATCTAGGGAGTGAGTAGAATGATAATGATCCAGGGAGTGAGCAGAATGATGGAGATCCAGGGATTGAGTAGAATGATAGGGACCCAGGGAGTTAGTAAAATTATGGAGATCCAGAGAGTGAGTAAAATTATTGATATCTAGGGAGTGAGTAGAATGATAATGATCCGGGGAGTGTGCATAATGATTGGGGACCCAGGGATTGAGTAGAATGATTGAGTTCCAAAGAATGAGTTAAATGATGGAAATCTAGGGAGTGAGTAGAACGATAATGATCCAGGGAGTGAGCAGAATGATGGAGATCCAGGGATTGAGTAGAATGATAGGGACCCAGGGAGTGAGTAAAATGATGAAGATCCAGAGAGTGAGTAAAATGATGGAGATCTAGGGAGAGAGTAGAATGGTAGGGGCCCATGAAGTGAGTAGAATGGTAGGGACCCAGGGAGTGAGTAGAATGATTGATATCTAGGGAGTGAGTAGAATGATAATAATCCAGAGAGTGAGTAAAATGATGGAGATCCAGGGAGTAAGCAGAATGATGGGGACCCAGGGAGTGAGTAGAATGATTGATATCTAGGGAGTGAGTAGAATGATAATAATCCAGAGAGTGAGTGAAGTGATGGCAAGCTAGGGAGAGAGTAGAATGGTAGGGGCCCATG